AAAAAAAAAAAAAAACAGGAAAAGAAGAAATCAAAACAACCCGCAGTAGTGACAGATGGGCAACGAGCGTCGTGTGTGCGTAGTGCGTGCGGTGAAGGTGCAAAGGTAAAAGCAGCAAAAACAAAGAAAGGTCATCAATCTACCTTGCTGTCAGCCCCGCTGCCCCTCCACTTGCTCCTGCCCTTGGAAAAGAACCCTCTCGCCTCCTTCATTCCCTTGCCGCCCAGCACTCCCGCGCCCTTCAGCAAGTCTTTACCCTTCGACTGCATCTTGTTGGCGGGAGCACCCGGGCTCGTGACCTGCTGGCCCGTGGGCGAACCCGCACTGTTCGCCGCGCTAGAGTCAAGAAATTGCCCCTGCATGCCGCTGCCCTTGCGCAGGCCCGTCGTCAGGGACTTGTTGTGTTTGTGCCTCATGCCGCCCAAACCTCCACCGCCGCCGCTCGTGAGCGGTGGCAGCGGTTGCGTGGGTAGGCTGATGAGGTGAGAGTGCTCAGGCTTCTTCTCCAACGTGGAGGAGATCCAATTGCGCAAACCGGTCTCCATGTTGGCGAATTGCTCGCGCGTCTCGTTGTACTTGGCGACCCGCTCATCGCAAGACTTGAGGGCAAGGATCTCACGGAACAGTGGAACCTTGGCTTGCGGCGTCGTCGGGGCCGGCGAGGCAGGCGGTGGCGTCTGGGTGGCAGAAAGCGCGGGCTCCAGGCTTGCCGCGAGGGAGAGGTCTCCAGGAGGTTGGTGTGGCTGGGCCGGTGCAGCCGGAGCCTCGAGTTCGGCGACATCAGAATCGGATTCAGGTTCCGGATTGATAATATGCAGTCCGTCAGCGGATATCGGGCGGCCATCCGGCATTTCGGCGATGGCTTGGGCGATGGATGCTCTATTTCCAGATCGGTCAGGTTCTTGGCTTGATTGATTGGTGGGAGGTGATTTGCTAGCAGCGGGTAACTCAGTTGTCGGGAGTGTGACTCTCGGTGCAGCACCAGCCGAAGGCGTAGTCGCTGCGGAGTCTTGTTCCCAGCTGAACCGCTTGACCAAGGGGTTGTGAGCGCCAGTACTTTCAGAGCCAGTGGAAGTCTTGGATCTGTCAGGCATGGTTGGGCGAACGGTGTGCTCAGGGGCAGCTGCAGCCGAATGAGTGGAGTCGTGCGTTGGCATCCGGTCGAGCGAATCATCGTCGCCGTAACGGGCCCAGTAATCGCCATATTCGGTAGGGATGGCGATGCTCACTCGGTTGTTCGGAGAGGCCGTACGCCCTTCCGGGCCGGCAGCCTGCGCCGAGAGTGATAGGGCGCGGGCGCCCTCGGCATTTTCGGAAGCCAAACTCGGGGTGCTGAGACGAGCGACAATTTCTTTCCGCAGCCTGTCACTCTCGGTGTCATACGAAGCAGGCTCCGTGCTCAGCTGCGTGACGATGTCGGGACGTCTCGCCGACAGGAATTCACCTTCAGAGTGGACCGAAGGCTCTCTCGACTTCAGGGGCAACGGCATCCGGATCTCCTCTTCAACTGATGGCGTCTGTTGTTCGTCGGCCGGAGGTGAAGGCGGGACACTGCTGTCCGACTCGATGGAGGAAGCCTTGCGATCCAATTGGAGCGGACGAAGGTAGACATCACCAACGGATCTGTCTTTCTTTTCCTCCTCGACAGGCAAGTTCTCAGCCGAAGACGCAGCCGAGTTCTCCCAAGACTGCGGTTCCGACTTCTCACCGGCTCCCACAGCTGATTTGAGCGCCTCGCCCATGGCGGCACCCGCAGCTGCCAGAGCCCCCATCGGATTGGCGGCAGGGTCGACCGCATCCTTGTGGTCGAGCGGCCGCTTGCTCGTGGTAGGAGTGATGTCTGTCTCCTCAAGCGGCCCTTGTCCAGTCTTGGTAGAAGCCGGGCGCGCTGGAGTCCTAAGATCAAGTTCAGACTTTGCCTCACTTGGCGTAGCCGGATCCGACACCGACGTGTTAAACGATTCCCAGGTACCCGGCAGTTGTGGCCTGAATGTGCTGGCTCTTTCGGGCTTTGGGCGCGCATCATTTGGCAGCCGCTTGACGGGCGACGTGGAGCGCGACCTATGGAGCTTGCTACCAGAGCCACTGCTCTTCACGGATGTGACCGACTGCGTCGAGTTTCTCCTCGAGTCAGCGTTGAGCCTGTTAGCAATGTCGCGAACGCGACCCTTGGTGGGTGATTCAGACGCGGAGATCGGTGATGTGGGGGCGGATGTGTCCAAGGAGAGTGATTGACGGTGCTCAAGGAATGACGTCTGCGCATGCCGCAACTCGGCCCCCGCGTCTTGGCTCGTGCGTCCGGAGCTCCGCGACGGAGACGCGAGATCCGCCTCTCTTGTGAGAAAGTTTTTCGGGCTCGCCGGGTCCGCATCTGCTGGGCTGGCCATTCCAAGGTCAGCGGCTTCTGGCTCTGGAAGGTTTTGTGCGGGCGCAATGGCAGGTGACCGCGCAGGGCTATGGCTGGGACTTGGCGTCCCCAGGTTCCGGCGTCCAGTCGGTGTAGAAACTCTGGGCACCGTTTCGGGATTGTACGTCGATGGCGAGGGCTTGCGATTGACCTGACGGATAGTTCCAATCGATACGGGCCTTGAGCCCGGTTCCTCGGCAATAGAGGGGTGGGAATAATCCGGTTCCTTTCCTTTCTTGCCCCCAGGACGCGCTCCGCTAGGGACCCTGCTCATGATCGGACTGATGCCAGCCGTGCTGGTAGTGTCACTTCTCGTCACCTCGGAGGCGCCGGTACCGAGAGAGTCGGTTTTGGAAATCGGCGTTGGGGGGACCGAGTTGTCATCGGGCCGGTAGAAAGCGTCGCGGACCGCGGACCTAAATCCGAGCGACGGCTGGTGCTGTAATTGGGCGTCGCCCGTCGGCCCAACCTCTGGCTCGGGCAGCTGCCTGTTTGCTTGCGCAAGGATCTCGGGAGTGTTTGTTGCTTGAGTGCTTGACGCTTGCGAGGCGTCGTGAGTGTCTGCAGAACGCAAGAAATCAGTATCAAAATTAGACACAGGCCTGACGGGGGGAAGGAGAGCTGGTAATGAGCCCTCAGAGCTCGCGACGGGCGCCGGGGCTTGAGCGGTCTGCGCCTGGGGTTCCGGCTCGTTGAGCGAAAACTCGGGCAGATATTCGCTCTTGCGCTCGGCGACCGTCTCGAGCGGTGAGGTGCGCAGTGGCCTGCCTCGCTCTTGGCCACGCTGGTCCTCGACGGGGCTGGTCAGACCGTCCAAAGACGGCCTGTCTGAGTCCATAGATTCCCTCTCACGCTGACGCGTCTCTTCCAGTCGCTTGTAGATATCTGCAGGGCGCACAATCTTACTTGGGCTTGCGGGGGTTGGGGCAGATGAAGGAGACATCTGTTGAAAGGACGAACCTGACTGGGGGAAAGACGGCCTTCGCTGATCGGTGGGCGAGCTGAGGCTGCTCTTGCGGGGAGGGAAGTGCTGCGCGGCAGCCGGGTCGGGGGCGCTGGTGGGCGCAGGCGATGCGCCGCGCATCTGCAGTGGCTGCGGCAGGAAAGACTGTTCGAAGTCACGACGCTGGTGAGGATCCATAAAGAGGGACGAGTCGCTAGCTACCGACTGGTTCCAGCTTGACTGGCGGCTCTGTGACGTGGCGTCATGCGGGGGTTGGTGGTGGGTGGAGGGGCCTGTGGCGGGTGTAGCGGGCGAATAAACGCTGGGGCTGACAGTCATGGTATTGGCCGAGGGCTGGACGTCGCCGCCAAGAACGGTCGTGTTGATGCGCGGAGGGGATTGCGGCATGGCGTTGGAAGCGGAAAAGGCTCGCTTTTCGTCGCCTTGTTCGAAAGAGTTGCGACGAGCGGACGAGGGCTCTCCGGGGGCCACGCTGGGCTCGGTGAAGCTGCGAGGCTGGCCATTCTTGCCGATGCTCAGGCCGCGCTTGCGGAAGGCCGCGGGCGGCTGGGGGGCGGTAGAAGCATGGGCGGCGACTCCGTACTCGTCGTCCTCGTCATAGTCGCCCCAGTCGTCGCCGTCGTAGTTGTATGCCTTGGCTTCGACCCACTTGCGCGTCTTGTTGCGGTTGATGTTTGTCTTGAAAGAGGGTGGCTGGCCGGAAGTGAAGGGGCTCTGCGGACGACGGTCACTGGGCATGTCAGTCAGCGCAAGCGCCGAGAGGAGCGCGCTGCGAGGTGGGCGTTCCGTGGCGACTCACAAAGGCGAGGTGACGCGATCGGGCGCGAAGTTGTAGGGCTGGCCTGCCATGGTGGAGAAGGGGGGGAATATCAAGCGGCAAACATGGGCGGCGCAGAGCAGACGGCAGGGACAGTCTTGTAGGGCAGCAGCGGGGGGGTGGATACGAGATTAGGACGAGATTAGGACGAGAAATTAGCTACTACGTAGGTACGCAATAATGGGGATACAACACGGAGCGAGCGTGGCTGGGGCGGTGGAGTCAGTCAGGCGTTCGTTTGTTCAGTTGTGGCGCGCGCCTTGGCGGCGACTCGTAATGCCTTTGGGGCTTGGGCCTTTCGGGGGCCACGCAGACAAAGCTGCCATACGCAACCATCACTCTCTCTTTCTCTTCCTTTTTCCTAAAAATACTTTTCCATCTGCCGCCACTCCTTTCCACCTCTATCCGCCTATACTAATCCACAACCTCCACCTCCACCTCGCCCCGCCGTCTCCGCCGTCTCCCTCGCCGTTTCTCCCCCCCTCGCCGCCGTCATGGTAGCCGCCGCCGTCTGTGTCCAGGACCGCACCGAAGAGTTCCGCTCCATCCTCCACCAGGCCCAACGCCGCCTCGCCTCCAACAAAGTCGGTGCCCAGCGGCAGTCGTTATTGACGGCCTCGCAGCGCGCCGAAGCTGGCAATGGCAATGGCGCTCCGACGCGCGGGCAGCGCTCCGAGTTTGCGCGCAAGGCGGCGGATATCGGCCGCGGCATCTCGGGGGCCATGGCCAAGTTGGAACGCCTGGCCCAGCTGGCGCGCCGCAAGACGCTGTTCGACGACCGCCCCGTCGAGATCGCCGAGTTGACCTACGTCATCAAGCAGGACCTGGCGCAGCTCAACGGCAGCATCAAGCAGCTGCAGGGCATGTCGGCTGCGCAACATCCGCGCCAACAGCAGGTCGACCAAGAAGGAGAACACAACAAGAACGTCTTGCTGCTGCTGCAGGGCCGTGTCGCCGACGTCGGTCTCTCCTTCAAGGAGGTTCTCGAGCTACGCACAAAGAACATCCAGGCTTCTAAGTCGCGCACCGAGAACTTTGTCTCTTCCGTCTCAGCCTCGGCCCAGCAGCACCCCGCCCTCGCCGAGCCCGGCCGCTCCGACTCGCCTCTCTACCAGCCGCCCCAGCGTGGCCGCAGCCCCAACCCGCCTACCTACACGAATGCCGCGCAGCAGGATCTCCTCACTCTCGAGCCCGATGGATCTGGCTCCTCGGCCCTCATGGGCGGCTCCCGCGGCGGTCACATGTCGGATCAGCAGCTCTTGATGATGGAAGAGGCTCAGCCCACCAACACATATATCAACCAGCGTGGTGAGGCTATCGTGGCTATCGAGCAGACTATCTCAGAGCTGGGTGGAATCTTCGGTCAGCTGGCACAAATGGTCTCGGAACAGAGCGAGATGATCCAGCGCATCGATGCAAACACCGAAGACGTCGTCGATAATGTACAGGGCGCCCAGCGGGAGCTGATGAAGTACTGGGGCCGTATGAGCGGCAATCGCTGGCTTGTTGCAAAGATGTTCGGCGTGCTGATGATTTGTGAGTTTCCCCTCTGCTGTTATAGTCGAATGGTTGAACTAACACACGCTTGCAGTCTTCCTCCTCTGGGTTCTCATCGCGGGCTAGCCGCCTCGCGCACTGCATTTTCGGCGTTTGAAAGACGGCACTCGGGTCGTCTGAATAATGACTCTCACGAGTCGACCACGGGTACACGCTGTACGATGAAATCTGCCTGCTTGTCCGCCTGCTCGCGTGGTTTTCTTGCATTATCTTTCTTGGGTCTCTGGGGTTCTTCTCTCCGGTTCCGCATCTCTTATATCGTTGATGCGCGGCGTTGACGCGGTGGTTTTTTCCCGCCTCTGTTCTTTCCTTTTTTCTTCCAACGTCTGTGTCCACATCTTCTCCTTCAGATGCAGTTTTCGTTCCTTGTAGACGCGCTTCTCTTTCTGCGTCTGCGCTTTTTTTTTACTTGCCCCCGCCGCTTGTTTGCGGGGTCGGTCCGCTTCACTTTTCATTGCACACACTGCCTGCCGCCTGGGCTATAGACGCTTGTAATATGACGCGAGGCGGCGCGCGCGGGTCGCGCGTCGTGGTGCTTTTTGGTGGTCACGTTTGGTACTATTTTTGCGCATGTGTGATGTATGTTGTGCACGCGGATACTCCATTTCTCGGTGATTTTCAAGCTGCGGCTTCTTTGCATGGCGCGCTGTGCTTCTTCCTTCTTGCGATGCTGTCCCGTTTTATGCTGCAGGCTGTTGATTTGTTCTTTCTGCTCTCTCTCTACTTATCACATAGGCACTCACTCGCTCCATGTCCACGACCAAATCATGCCCTAAATCATTCTAGAACTGTCGTTTAAACTCGAGAAGCAATGAAGAACACGAACACCGTTGCTTTTGTCATTAGTTGCCATCTTCACCTATTCGTTGCTTTATTACCATTTGCCCACCTCCAAAGACCCCATCAACCAACCCAGGTGGCAGATACCAAAGACGGAGAGGGAAAGACGTGGAGAGATTGTGGGGCAGAGCGTGTGGGGATGAGGGGGATCGTACCGACTTGGGGCGGAGGGTGGTTGAAGGAGTACTACATACCCCGTACATAGCAATAGCAGCAGCAGCAGCAGCAGCAGCAGCAGCACACAAACGAGACAAACATCCCGCTCGTCCCTTTAAAGGTCCTAGCCGACAAAACGCGCACACACTCCCTACCTACCAGTGCAGTGCAATGCTACGGAGCGTGGGAGCACCCCCACGGCCGGCCCTCAGACGTGCACCGCGAATATCCGTATCCGAATCCGTATGCATCTATGACGAGAGGCACGCCGCAGCGCGCACAGCCCGCGCGCGCCGGCGATCATCATGTCGCTTTTTGGCTTGGCGACGACGACCGCAAGCGCTGACCACGTCAGGGCTCCGGTTCCTATGCCTGGCCCCTGCGCGGCTGCATGACGCCAGCCTCGGCGTTGGCGACGCTGCCACTGCGCTGCGGTCGCGAACTTGCTCCCCGCCCTGCATTCTTCTCGAGACGCGCGCTGGAGAGCTTGTGGCGCCGGCCAGGGTCCAGAGGATGCGCGCCGTTTTACGGAGTAACGGTCTGTCGGGCTCGCTACGCTTGCTGGCTCGCTGCGCGAGACGCCAGGGCAAAAGGGCGAGACGCGAGGGACGCGAGGGCGAGACGCTGCTCGTGCACGGACTCCTGCTTGCCGGGGCGGAACGACTTTTTACTCGACTCGCGAGGGTGGGACGCTCGGCACGTGAGGCTGGGGAGGAGCGTAGAGGAGGGAGGGTGCCTCGGACACAAGGAGTGGAAGGGTCGGAGGGGAGTCGGAGTGCCGGTGATGACGGTGATGATGATGATGATGAGGATGAGGAGGTGGGTGGGAGCACGCGAGATGTCGGTCACCGGCAACCGAGATTCACCTTCTGGCGAGATGGGGGAGGATGCGAGCAGTCATTACGGAACACTTCTTGCCTGGCTTTAAGCCTGGGCCCTGGATAGGAGCGAAGGGGTTTTAGGGCGCATACTACATACATGCTGTTGTCTCGTTAGGTGGTGAATCTCGTTTCACGGTGATGGACGTTACGTATGTCCATACCTACTTACCCTGTGCAGGAAACGTGATCGGAAGGGACGGAATGCGCGACCTACGTGTGGCGTCAGTGATGGTCGGTGATGGGCCGTGTTGGGCTTGAAGGAGCATCGATTGTCTGGCGAGGTGTGTTGTTCCAATGCCGATGAAAGACGAGAATGGCGAGATATGTAGACAGCGTTATGTGTGGCAAAGGGCCGGGGCGGGCCGCCAGCGCTAAGAGAGCCCTAAAAGTATTTTTGCAACAGTGTTTGTTTAAACACAAAGGCAAAAAAAGTCAAAGACGATTGTGAGAGCCACAGTGCACGAAGCAGTTCCCACAGCGAGTCAGCCCTGTGGAATCCGGAGCTGTCGAGATTTACAGTGGAGAAAGGTTAAAGAGCGGCCCCCTTGCGTCAATCCGATACGTCGTCACGTGGACACGGTTTCAGAGGGGCCGCAATTCGGGGCTTGGAGTGGCCAGCATTCCAGCAAGTTCAGAGCCGCGTACCGGGGGCTGCGTCGTCTATCGTGAATGGCCCAATCATGGCATGACGTCGGGGGCTTTGGCCGCCAGGGTCTCCGCTTGATTGGCGCCGCTCCAAACTCGCGCGCTTTGTGCCCGTCCGCGACAGCGCATCCTTACCCGTTACCCGCCAACCTACTCTTTCTCCTGCTTTCCTGTCCTCCACCTAATATTCCTCGCCCCGCTCCTCCTCTGTCACCTACCCACTCCCCGCTGCTGCCACGACCAACGCCTGCAGCCCGCATGCATTCCCCGCTTGCGTGAACGCGCCTGCCGCCATGAACACGAATTCCACCAAGGACCCGCTGTCGGGGGGAAACGCTGGCAAGGCCCTCGACAGCCAGAACATCTCTTTCCCCCAGTTCGCCGCCACGCTGGTGACGGGTATCGTCGCGTTCGCCTCTTTCTTTGCCCTCTTCTACGTCCTCCGCCAGAAGCTCAGGAGAATCTAGTAAGTTGCTGCGTCCCGTGCCGCGCTTGGACCCCGCCTGACACCATCGCAGTGAGCCGACAACTTACCTCGTGCCCGAACGGCAGCGCTTCGTGCCTCCACCCGCTGGATGGGTGCGCTGGATCGCGCCCGTCTTTCTCACCCGCCGCCGCCAATTCATCGAAAAGTGCGGTCTGGATGCCTACTTCTTCATCCGCTTCATCTACGTCCTGCTCAAGATCTTCTTTCCGCTAGCATGCGTCCTGCTGCCCATCCTGCTGCCGCTAAACGCCACCGGGCCCGTCAACACCGACACCATGGGTCTCGACCTGTTCGGCTGGGCGAATATCGGCGCCAACAAGACAAACCGCCTCGTGGCGCACTTGGTCATGGCCCTCGTCGTCATCATCTGGGTGTGTTTCGTCTCCTACACCGAGCTCAAGAACTACATTCAAGAGCGCCAGAAGTGGATGACGTCTCCGTCCCATCGCATTCGTGCCTCCGCCACCACGGTCCTCGTCACCAACATCCCGGACAAGTGGTGCACCGTCGATTCGCTCGACGCCCTCTTCGATGCTTTCCCCGGCGGCCTGCGCAACATTTGGATTAACCGAGACTTTGGCGATCTGCTGGACAAGAAGAACAAGCGCGAGGAGATTGCGTTGAGACTCGAAGGGGCTGAAACGGCGCTGATCCGCAAGTGCAAGGTCAGAGCTAACAAGATGCGTAAACGGGAAGAGAAGGAGGCCGGCATGAAGAGATCGAAGATGGAACGCCAAGAACAAGAGAATCTCGAGCAGAAACAAGCCGAACAGATGGCCGGCGAGGTCGGTGAGAGTGCGAACAACCCGCACGAGGCCCACACCCTCGACGAACAGTTGCACGAAGCCATGGATGGCCCGTCCAGCCAACAAGCGAACGGCCAGGGTGCCAAAAAGCCAATTCAACTTGTCGGTCAGGGTCTTTCGGCCGTCGGTCAGGGATTCAACCAGATTGGCCACGGTATTGGACGAGGGTTTGGCGCTTTGGGACAGAACATCGATCGATTCGGACACTCGACTGCCGAGGGAATGAGCAAGAGTTTCAACCACGCCCGAAGGGACGTCGACCACGCCTTTGATTCCCCGGTAGGATACAACCCCGACATCGACGGTGCTGACGATGGACCCGTCAACGACATCCATATCCGCCAGAGCTACCACCCGCCGCCCTTGTCGTCAGATGCTGGTGCTCTAGGCCCATCCAAGGATCATTTGCATCGTGGGCCCGAGCCTGAGCCAGATCAACAGTCTGACATGACGCCACGTACGAAGGATTACCTTCACAGAGGCCCGGCTGTACGCCGCACCTCGCAAAACTACAGGACGCCGACGATGCAGGGTTCTTCGCCGAATGCCTCGCGCGAAGCATCTCGCACGCGCGACCCTTCGTCTCGCGCCCCTACTGGCCTTCGCAGAGTAGCCTCCACGCGGTCCCAAAGGAGCGATGCGAAGCACAAGCTGACCAACAAGCATCTCAACCCACTGCGCATTTTCCGGAAAAATAGCGAATTCCCCAGCCCCGAACCGTTCGCGAAGGAGGACGATGAGTATCCCTTGAGCGGACCTTCGCCAAACCCGGCCTCTCCGAACACGGTGTCTCCGTCCACGCCATATGGCTCTAGGAAAAACTCGATCGAAAAGCTGCCGAAGCCAGAGAGAACCGACGACTCCAAAGAATCTCAAGAACAGGTCGAGAAGATCAAGCGTGATCGTCACGCAGCCAAGAAGCCTCCAATCATCGACTGGGAAGAGTACAACCGCCAGCTGGAGAAGGAGAGGGCAACCGCGGTCTGGACGAGGTTCATCAAGCCCGAGGAGCGTGAGACCATGCGCTTGTCGCTTTTCCCTCGCTCCACATGGTGGTGGAAGATCTGGCCGACTTGGTGGTTTTCGTTTGGCAAGAAGGTCGATGTCATTATTTACTGCAGGCTTCAGCTGCTCGAGCTCAACAAGGAGATTGACGAGGACGAGAAGAACCTGGACAAGTACCCGCTGATGAACTCGGCCTTTATCCAGTTCAACCACCAGGTCGCTGCTCACATGGCTTGCCAGTCTATCACTCACCACAGGCCTTACAACATGGGGCCGCGTATCTTGGAGATTGACCCCAAGGACGTCAAATGGGACAATTTGTCCAGGCGTTGGTGGGACCGATACTTGCGGTACACGGCCGTCGTGGCCATCTGCCTCGGCATTACTCTTCTTTGGGCATTCCCCATGGCCTTTGTCGGTTCCTTGTCTTCGCTTGATGACCTTGGTGCCTCGTACGATTGGCTCAAATGGTTGCAAGGTCTGCCATCGTGGTTCAAGGGTTTCCTGCAGGGTGCGCTGCCTCCTGGTCTCCAGGCCATCTTCCTTATGCTGCTCCCCGTTGTGTTCCGACTCCTTGTCGACTTCTCCGGTGTGCCGACGGGCGTGGAACAGGAACTGGTTATCCAGAACCTCTACTTCGTCTTCATCTTCATCCAAGTTTTCCTGGTCGTGTCCATCTCGTCGAGTCTGATGAAGGTCCTCGAGCAGTTGTGGAACAGTCCGCTCGAGCTGCCATCCATCTTGGCCTACAACCTGCCCAAGGCCAGCAACTACTTTTTCAGTTATATCTTGCTACAGGCTCTGTACAGCGGGTCGCAGCAATTGGCCCAGATGGTCGCCCTGGCGGAGTGGTTTGTTCTCTCTCGCTTCATGGACAACACTGCGAGGGACAAGTTCAACAGACAGAGGAAGATTCCCAGCCAGCAATGGGGAACATTCTTCCCCGTCTACACCAACTTTGCGTGCATTGGTAAGTTTAGCCGTCGATGGGATTGGGACGACGCTGACATTTGCAGGCCTTATCTATTCTGTGATCGCGCCCCTCATCCTGGTTTTCTGCATCATCATGGCCGCCATTGTCTGGATCGTGTGGCGTTACCAGATGTTCTACGTCATGCGCTGGTCCACTGACAGCGGTGGGCTGTTCTTCCCGCGTGCCATCAACCAGCTGTTCACCGGCCTTTACGTCATGGAGTTGTGTCTAGTCGGGTTGTTCTTCATCGTTAAGAACGAAAAGAAGGAACTCGTCTGCATCCCACACGCCATTGTCATGATCTTCACGATTCCCTTGACCTTCATCTACCAGCTCATGTTGAACAAGGCATTCAGCCCGCTCTTCAAATTCGTGCCCATCACGATGGAAGACGAGGCGCAGGAACGGCAAGAAGAGTTTGAGCGCAACCTCGCGGCGCGGTACGAGGAGAACAACCCAACGGTCGACGACGACAACAACACCATGTCGACCTCCTCGCCGTCCAGCGTCGAGAAGCACAGCTCGATCGAGCTAAAGAAGATGGAACGCGCGGGCCGCCGCCTCACGGGCATTAATAAGCCCGTCGCGTCGCCGAACCCGAACCCGATGGCCACGCCCCAGCTGCACCAGCACCATCACGGGCGCTCGCCCAACCCCTCGGGCGGCGCGGATCCGCGCCTCAACGCGGCAGCGACGGACCCAGAGCTGGCGGGCCCGCACAACGGCGGCTACCTCTTCCAGGGATACCACGACGAATTGGAGGACCTGACGCCAGAAGAGCGCGACGTGCTTGTGCGTAGGGCGTTCGAGCACCAAGCGCTACGGATGACGCAGCCGTGTATCTGGATTCCGCGTGACGAGTACGGCGTCAGCAACGACGAGATTAGCAGGACGGCGGACCTGTCGAGCACGCCGTCGGCGGTTGTGACGCCGCGGTTCGGCGCTACAGGACGGGGCGAGGAGGCCGCGGAGCAAAGACATGGTATCTGGATTACGAACGAGTTCACGGCCCTGGATCCCAAGGCGCGGGTTATGTTCCGCAAGCCGCCGCCGGACTTTGATTCTGCGCAGGAGTTTTTGCAGCTTTAATGTGGTGGGTGGCTGTGCGTGCGTGTGCGCGCGCTTAGTGCGGCTTTGCTTTTTGTGTGTTTTTTTCGGTTGCTTGGGTTGCATAGCGTGGTGTTTCGGATCGGACTACCTACAGTACCTACTTACTTCTGTTACTAGAAACGAAGGCACGGGCAGCAGTGAGGTTTCTCTTCTCCTTTTCTTTTCCTTCCTGGTCGTTTTCCTTCCAGTCTGGTCTGGTTTCCATGGCGGGTTGCTCGGTGGCTACCTAGAGCGCAGCAAAAAGATATGTTAAGTGGCGGCGTTTTGACTTTTTTCGTTTGAGGTGGGATGGGTGCTTTGAGGCCGCTTGAGGTTCGTTCGTGCATAGCGCGGTATACGGTAGATGCATACATACATGGATACATGAGCGAGAGCGAGCGAGAGCGAGAGCAATAGAAATGAGGACAAGAAGTGGTTTTTGTTTAGTTTAGCATGCTTTTTTTGTAGGAGCTAGACAGCACACAGCGTAATCCCTATCTACGATTTCCCCTCTACCAGTAAAATTAATCAGCAATATCCCATGTACCATCCTTTTCTCAACCCCACCAACCACCACCAACACGCCCCCTCCTGCCACACACACACACACACACACACACATACCAACCAAACACCAACCACTAAGCCCACTTCCCGAGCAAACTCATCCCCGCCACACCCACCAGCAGCGTCGCCCCGGCCGCGACCGTCTTCCGCCCACTAGCGTCCCGCAGCGCGCCCCCCGGCGCCATCCACTCTCCCGCTAGCATCTCGACCACGGCCGTCCACGCCAGTATCCCGGCCGACAGGGCGTCGAGCACGCCGATCGCCAGCAGGACCGCCGCGCTGTTGCCGTTGAAGCGGTGCAGCAGGCCGAGCCCGAGCGCCATGCCTAGGGGCGTGATGAGCGCGAAGGTGAGGCCGAGGAGCATTTTTTGGAGGGCGGTGGTGGTGGGGTGGTTGGAGTGTGGGGTGGGGTGTTGGGCATTTGAGGGGGAGGGGGTGTTTTGGGTGGAGCTGGATTCTTTCCGCTCTTCTGCCCATGTTGTCGTGGCGGCGGAGTCTTGCCGTACTCCCGCGCCTGCGGGGTGGGGCGGCGCTGGTGCTGCTGGTGCTGCTGGCGCTGCTTCTTCGTCAACGCCATTGTGCTGGTGTTGGTGCTGGTCTTGTGTCTGTGTCTGTGTCTGTGTTTGTGCTTGTACAACAGCCTGCTTCTGCCGCCGCAGCACGACGCGCTGCCCGAGGTACTCGACTAGGAACGCGAGGAACAGGCCGGCCATGAAGATGGCGGCGGGCGTGGCTTCGTAGGGCGCGGGGTAGTGGATGCAGGGGTTGGAGAGCATGAGGTTGGCGTGTGTGAGGAGCTAGTGTTTGTTGTTGTACGTTAGTGACTTCTTCTTATGGAAGGAGGAAGGGGGATGTTTGTGGGAGAGTTGGTTTGGCATACGTGCACAAAGGCGGTCGATATCATGACGCCAGTCCCGAATTGCTTGAGCAGGATGAATCCGGTGTGCGCGCCTGTGATGCGCGTGAAGGACGTGAGGACCATAGGCGCGAAGACGGCTGTCGTTGCGTGGGATGGTCAGTGAGTGATCGATACTTGTATTTACGCAGGAAGTGGAGCAGGCGTACCTAGCGCGCTGGTTTCGAGGATCACGAAAAGCAATCCGATGCGCAGAGGGACGTTGTACTCGCGGTCGATGCGCCCGCAGGACGGATGCGTTGAAGATTCGTCGTCGCCGATGCAGTGTTTGTTTTTGTCGTGTCAGCTTGACCTTGTGCGGTTTGGAGAAAGAGGTGTTTGCGTACTCGACGCCGGCGTGGAAGTGACAGTTTTTGCCACCTGAACTGCCGTGGCTGTGGTTGTGACCGTGGTCGTGGTCATGGTCATGGTGGTGATGCTCATGCTCGTGCTCGTGCTCCTCCGCATCCGCAGCTTCTTCGCCAATGACTTCGACTTCTTCGCCGTCGGGCCCAATGCAGAACCTAACCTCATCATCAATTCACTACTGGACGGATTTCCAACCCTCAACTCACATGTCCGCACCATGTTTATGACAGCCCGTATACCTAGCCGGCAGCTCTCCCGTCGCCGACGCGGTAGCTATGACTTGATACTCAGCGGAGCCCGCGCGGCAGAACCTGCGTACTTACGTGTTAGCTGAGAGCTCAATGGTGAGGTTTATAGACTGATAGCAGCCTTACTGCGAGCTCCCGTGCATGTGGCATCCCGAGATGGCAGTCACAGCGACACTGCTTGCAGCAGTGGACACTGGTGAGGAAGTGATTAGAGCAGCACGACGCGCTACGTCCGTGATGCTGGCGACCGTAAGCATCGTCTGGGCGTTTATGGCCGCGGCTAGGACGGCCATGAGTGTGCTTCTCAAGAACAGCATGGTACTGGACAATGGTGACAAGTGTGTGCATGCATCGGCCGAGGTCAGAATACCATGGCTCTTTATAGAGCAATCAATCAAGCGGTTACGTGAACCATGAAGTCCACAAGTGTCCGTCGAGCTGACGGTCCATACATATTTGCGGCGGGCGCTCAATCAGGTGCATAGATACTTGTGGTGGTTCTGAGTTCGTGGTGGTAGATTCGGAGCACCTTGCTGTCTAAAATAACCGACCAGCAACGTTCCCTCCCTATATGTCATCTACTGACTAGTGAAGAATGATTCGGAGCTTTGGCCCACTGTTCGCATCTGCGGCTCTTGAACGTTGCTGCCCCCCGTTGGCAACACCCTGTAATTAGGCGTCCTTTTCGGATAATGTAACGTCAGCTGTTTATAAAACAGCTACCAACAGGGTGTTGTGAGTTAAAGTATCGCTATCTGACGCCAAATTCGATGGTTGCTGTAGTTTCTAGTAAGATTTACGCTTTTTCTAATTGGGCGAAAATAGCACTCTGCTGTCTGGCAGCGGATCGGGCTAATCAGCTTGTCGCTAGAATACGATAAACTAAATACTAAACTATCGAATTTGGCGTTAGATTAGGATAAAATTACTACTAACACCCTGTTGGTAGTTATTTTGTACCAAAAGGACGTTACATTATCAACAAGTGACGCCTAATGCCGGGGTGTTGCTAACGGGGGGCAGCAGCCTTCGCTGGAGTCTGTCGTGCCTGAAATCCCCTGAGAAGTTGGCCGTCAAAGCAGCTGTAGGCCTTCCGCAGAGTGCTGCATGTCCTTGCCCCAGCGGCGCCGACTTTCCTGCACGACGCAGGATAGTTTGCCTGCACCTAAACGGCTGTTTTGTCCCTTCTTGAGAAACAAAAATGTACAAAGTATTTCGCGCTTTCGGAGCCACAAACGAAGGTAGCCTACTGTTTACCGTCCTGAGGAACGCTGTACCCAGGTGCTGCCGTGATTGTCGCAACGCGCGCCGCCGCAGCGCGTGCTCTGTAGCAAAACAAAGGCCGATCGATGCTCGATTTGCAGCACGTCGTAGTCCGCTGGCGAAGACACAGGCTCGCAGTTGGCAAGCACAATGCAAGTTTGTTCTCATACAGCCAGTCGCGGTGTTGCGTACGGCCTAGGCTGGCGGAAATCCTCGGAGCTTGACGGTAGGTAGGATGGCAAGCTGGCGTGTCTCGGTGTTTTGGATTCTGTGAGGTTGGCCGATTGTCCTGATCCTTTGCGACCGGGGCGTTTTGCAGGCGGCCCGCGTCCTGTTTGTAAGTACCAACGTTTTAATTGTGTGGGTGGGTTTGCTTACCTTCGGGAGCATGCGCAGTTAATAGTCTGGCTCATACTGGAACGCGGGATGGCTGAACTTTCATCGAGTGCTGTCGGTTGTTTACCGTGACCGGGTTTCCTCCAGCGGAGCAGCAGGGACGAGCCCATCCCGGGGCACTCTCAACAAAACTAAAAAGAGGCATACTCTGAGCAGGTACCTAAGATGTTTGTCGCGATAAGGTTTGAATTGGTCGTTTGGCGCCCCTTGTGGTGTTGTCTGCCTGGCCAAAGTCAGGGATTTTCAGGGAAGTTGTCTGCTTGGGAAATAACAGGGGAATCTCTGTGCGGACGTCGGCTTCCTTCGAGGACCATTACGCTTTGCCCTAGCATACTGCCTTCGTTTGCAAGCTGTCAATCAGAGTTGTGTCGCCCGTTAAGAGCTCTTCTGTGCATGATGCGGCGGGCTTCGAGCGGAAATTAGCGTGGGGGCGGGCGATCCCAAGGCCCCGGCCCTAGGAGAAAAGGCAGCGGGAGCGACACCGCTTGCTGGATACGGCGAAAGCTGGTAGCTAGTGTAATGCTGTTCTATACTCTTGTCAGATTGCTGAAAATGCGCTTGCGCCTCGGCCCTACCTCTGACCTGGCGCAATTACGTAGGTCGGCGTTAGCAAGCGGAGGGTGACTTCGCGCCGGCCGCCGATTGCTTAGACGTCATTTACCTAGAACGTTAATTGTGAATACCAGTCCCACAGGCCAGAGGCGCACGCATGGCTTGCATGCACTCTTATAGCAGTTACAGGGAATGGTCTGGTGTGTCGCTGTGCTGTGGGCGTGATGGTAGGGCTGGTCCCTGGCCTCGTAAGCAACCTTGATTTTCAGCATGCCCAGGCGCATCTTGGTAGGTTCGCACAGGCCATACTTTAGCACAAGGCAATCTAAGGGTCACTGCCAGAAATGTATTTTACTCCTCAAATGTATATAGTAGCGCGTCTAGATGGCACATGGAAGACATAGTCGGGCGGCTGGGTGGCAGCGCGGGTTTCAAAACACTAAGTAATAGAATCTTCTCTAAGGACGTGAGTCGTGATCTCTCTACGGCAAATGGCTTGGATACATTGCAACAGCAAATATACATTCCCAAGAGCTGTGCGTATGGGTGAATTGCAATGGAATAATCGTCGATCGCCCGACCCAGGGCCTAGTCCCTTCGTCACCGACACTATCACTTCAGGGTGGCATTAGTTTATACAAATTAGCACAAGGCAAAACAATTCACGCAGAAGGTACTCCCCAAGCTTATTCACTATGCCTCCAGCTACTAGCTGCCCGCCGGCTAGCGTGTGGGGCCCCGGTTCCCCAGCCAGCAGAGGTGCACGGGCATTCCCCAGCCGCGTAGTAAGTCACCACGCGCAACAGAGCATTAACTGCGCCTTTATGCCTGTTTTAAGAGCTGCCAGGAGCGTCGGAAGCGAGCACAGACCCCCACTGCCGTCCATATAAACGCCCTTCCCCCCAGCTCCACCTCTGCTCCACCTCCGCTCCAAACCCCAGATTTTCTTCGCCTGCTTCCTCACTTCCCCAAGCTGCCCGCCTTTCTTCTTCTTTATCTTTGCCTGCCTTCCTTCGTCCTTCTCTTTGCTCGCCTTCCTTCCTCTCATCCATCGCTCGCTCTCGACGCACTCTCACTTTCCGCCGCTCATCGCACCCGCCGGCTGACGTCTCTCGCCGTGGCACGCAGCACGCTGCCTTCTCTGTTGCTCAACTGTCGACAGCGACTTGGTTGTCACTTCGCCTTGACCTTCTGTTTGTCTGCTCACGCTTGACTGTCAGCCAGCATCAACCTCTCTGTAAGTATTCCACAAGCTCGCTACGTTTGACACATTTTATCTTTGGTATGATGAATTGTGAGAGATTATGATCACCATGATTGTTTCATACTGCATTTAATGAACTTCTCGCCAGTGTGGTGCAGTCTTGGTTCCAGGCCTAGCTTGAAGCCGCTGTTCCCACATTGGTGTGGCCGTTTACACGGTCCTGACCTTCCATGACATATCCATTGCCCTTAAGAAGACATTTGAGATGCTTGTGCTAACTCCCGCTCAACTCGCAGATCCACTCAACCGCTGACCGTCCACCGTCCACCATCTGCACCGTCATTGCTGTTGCAAGCTTCACGCCATCTTCCGATCGCAAAGCCTGAGCTCAAAGATTCAAGGTACATCCACTCCTTCCTTTTCCCTTGTTGACTGCCACAACCTCTGTCGTCCGCCTCGGTCGACGGCGAACACTCCCCCTCGGAAATGATGACAACGCATGAAACGAACAGATATCTGACTGTCGAGCCTCCTGGGTTCGGTCCGGTCCGCCGGATACTCTACCCGATGGCGCGTGACGATAATGCAACTGTCTGATCTGTCTTAATCTCTCTGTACCTTGTTTCACTTTTTTTTCTTTTTCTTCAAGTGAAACCATAACATCTTCAACACTCTAGGACTTCTCAGGATCCGAGCCACGCATCTTCGCCTCCGAGCCTTGCCGGAAAGCTTCACGCTGGACATTCAGTTCTTGGTAAGTCTGAGCAATTGCACTTCCTCGTGGAAATGATGATTAAAACGAAAACGCTCGCAAGGCTGCAGCTTTGTGGTTTCGACTGCAGAGGTGTAGCTTTGCGGCCATGCTACTCTTCCGAGCGGCTTGACCCGCAGTGACGGAGAAAACTTAATCTGATCCACTCCCTTCATTTCCCTTGTTCATTTTCTAGTCTTTTGAGTTCATGTAGCTAACAACTCAGGCATTTCATTTAGGGCCTCCACGATGTTGACATGAATTCTCGCTTCCATGCTGCACCAGCGAGCATCTGGCGCACTAGACCTTTTGTCCTTGGTATGTTCGATGTCCACTCCATCTTCACCTCTTCACGGAAATGATGTGTATTCATCTTATGGTACTGAGTCTGCTCATGAAGTCAATTTCTTTCCTGATCCGCGTTCTTTCATCACACTTGCTCGTTGCTTTCTATGGGACAACCATGCTAATGCCTCAAACCTTCTAGGACCTCATCCTTGATGGCACGTAGCCGGTCCATGAGGTATGAGCCTTCGCAGACCTTAGTCAGTTTTGTCGCATTCTGTTCGCCTGGTCATTGCTCTTAGTAAGTCTTTTCTAGATTGTTTCCTTCGCCCTCCTTCGCATTACGATGACAACACCCCGAGAGTGAGCTTCTGCGCGGTGATCTGTCTCTCAAACCAAATTCAAAATCGGTTGTTCTCTTTGTCTGATCTGCCTCTTCCGATCGAGTTTCCTTGTTCCGCGCTTCTTATGGGACACCATGCTAACTTGCAAGCTCTTTCTTAGGTTCTACCCCATCTCATGCTCTACCTTCTCTCGGTAGGTCCATCTCTTTTCCGTCATCGCCTCCGCATATGATGGAAAACAATATATCAACCTTTTGGCTTTGATCATGATCAAGGACATGGGTTTGGCGTTCCGCTGTCAGGTTGACGAGTCACGGCTTTGCCAACGCCACGTAAATAGCAACGTCAAGGCGTTGTTCATTCCCTCACGGGCTTGGGCAATGATTCACAGCTAAGTTTGGCAAGGTCGTGGCTTGTTGGCTTGTCGTGGGGCGTCGGAGTCATGCCCTCATGATTACATAATCGTTTCATCTGATTTGCGCGTTTTTGGTCCCTCTT